GACTTGGTCTATAGGCGAAGAAACCAATACTCAAAAGGAATTATGAATGCAGTGCATATTTGCTTAGGTCTGACGACGACCTAGAAAATCACGATCACAAATGTACCCAATTAAGTTGCGTTTTTCTTCTTCAAAAAACCTATTTGCTTTCAAACAATAATGCATTGGCTTAGTAACGCTTAGCGATCGATTAAAGGGGTTAAGCGACTCGTACTACCTTGGAGTTTACTCTTGAGTCCTGCCAGCAGCCAAGCAGCGGCTGATATTATAGGTAAATGAACACTGCCGACAAAAAACGGAGAACGGAAAGACCGTTTTTGACTCATTAGTCGTCATCAGCCAGCCATACCCAAGTAATCGGAAGGAAGTAGTTCCGAGTACTTGTTCGAACACGAACAACTGGTACCTTGCGCTACCTGGAGGCAGCCTACAGACGGCGGTCAAAACCTGACCTATATAAACAGTTGGAGCATGTGGTCAACCTGGCTACGCCTTGCTAAAATCTAGCTCCCAGATTTACACAGTCCCCTACCCAACTTTTCGCCCTACCTCCTTTTCATCTGTTTCTCTTTCCACTTCGTTTTAACTCGCTAATTTCACGAAGTAGCCTTCGTAACCTGCCCTACGACCTCTTTTGACCTTTCTGTACCAATTCAATTTTGTATTTTTCTGCATTCGTTACTCTCACCATGCAATGGAATAGACGCAAATGATGAGCTTTCCCGAAATTTCATGGATCCAATAAATCTTGTTGTTTTTGCAATCTACAGACTTACACCTGGGAAACTTTGTTTTAAATCACATACTGAGCAATTTAAAGGGATATTATGTCTTAAAAAGCCCGCAAACCGAAACACTTTTTAAAAACCAATAGATAGCCTTTCGTCGAGTACAACATGTGCAGATGTAGCTGGCTATCTATAAAAATATATTTGGATTTGAAAGGACACCGAAAATCTTGAGAAAAAAATGCTGATAATTTTAGGCAGTTATTTTTTTTATAATGCGGGTTTTTGCAAGAGACCGAAAAAAAACTTGCAATAAACAGATGGCATCCTGATGTAGCCGAAATATAAAGCGCCACTTGAATATGCCCCTTCCCCCTACCCTCGGTCGTCGCAGCTCATGCCACCAGACACGACACCCCTCGGGTAATGTCACACGCACCAATTAGAGAACACTTGAACGTGCTCCGCAAACCTAATTAAGCAATAGCCACCACTGCCTAGTGCTCCCTCAGACCTGAGTGGACGCAGTCAACACTAGCCCTGGCTTCGCCAGCGGCCACTACCATCTGAGACAGCAACTCGAAGTTCTGTATGCAATAAATCCTCCCCACAGGTCCCTTCAACTACTAACCAACAACTTGGAATTTTGGCCTGATGACTGTAGTGCTCTAAGCACAACCACTGCTTACACGCCACAGATCTAATTGCCTTACATAGACCCCGGTCACTCTTCCCAACCCGTCATTTTCTGGTAGACAAAGTAAGGCTAAGACTTGAGTACATTCCTTCTAAAAACAGGACGCACGTTGTCACATGCTCGCCCTATTTCCATTGATACGGATAAAATCGAAGTCTTTGATAGCATAATTGAGGAGAGAGAAGTTAAAACTGACTATATATTTTGTTTTAATTTTCGAACAAAAGGCCTGTTTTACTTTATCCAACTTTCCCGAAGGAACATAAAGATGCAGCGAGAAACACTTAAGTAAGTCAAATTAAAAAAACGTAATAGACTGTTTTGGCCGATTCCAAAAAGGAAGGCTCATTCAGGGCGCAAAGATATTCCCTAAAGACGATGACGGCTTTACAGAACAAACGAAACGACAAAAAAGTGTGTACACATACCATCGCCGATAAGGAATTCCTCCAGGCTACTTCGTTTACTGATGGGCTAAAAAACAAATAAAAACACAATGACTAAGCCCTTGACTAAAGTCCACAGCACGTTCGAAATAAAAGAAAACAGTACATTACGACCTATGTAGGGCAATGAGCAAGGGGATCGTGTGATTATTTTTACAATACCGCATGCGCAAAATGCCTCCATGCGAGCGCATAACAGAAGCGGTAAACAGAAGCAGGACAAAGGCGAGGATGGTGGGAGGGGAGGGGAGGGGACAGAAAGGGATCAGGTGAAACGTATCCCAAGTCCGTAGTTTATTTCGCGCATTGGCGTTCGTGTGAAATTAAGAGCCAGAGTATTTGCGACATAATGACTATTATTGCAGCATGGGCCAGCCAAGTTGTACAGTTTCCCAAAGCTTCGGACCCAGAAGACTCAGTAGTTGACCTCGACCTGGAAAAATTCGTACTTTTTCGTCGGAATACCACAATTTAGCCAGTACGAATTGCGGGTATCTGAGACATCCAAACAAGTTTTAGGTTACTGGCTAGCAGCATCACCACCACCACAACAACAACAACTACTACTACTACTGCTGTTACCATCGCTACTACTACTACTACCACTACTTCTACTACTACAGCCACTAGTACTATTAGAAAAGATAATACTACATCACTACTACTACTACTGTTACTACTGCCACTACTACGCATAATGATAGCAATCACGCTACTACAACCATTTTCAATGCTACCAGTACCGTTACCACCATCGTTGCTAATGTCAATACTATAATCATTAATACTACAAATGGGTAAATTGAATCATCCAAATCTGTCATACCCCTCCTAAGAATTACTACTACTACTACCACCACTACTACTGACAATTCTATCTACTTTATCGATGACGTGCACAACTACTTCTATCATTATTATTATTACTACTACCCACACTAGTACTAATATAAAAGGTACTACTGTAACCACTGATGCTACTAGCACAATCACTACCATTGGAACTACTAATATCAATACTACTACTACTACTACTACTACTATCAAGCAGATAACGACTTTAACTACTACTACCATTCCCACAACAACTTTCAATAAGAAATAGATAAACATTAACAGACGGTACATGGGGACACTCACCGTAATAACAACAGAACAGGAATTGAGACTAATCTCAGCATCCACGACGACCGACTGTCTTCGCTTTGTCCTTAGCCTCATGCTCTGCCGTCGATCGTTGGAGTCTAGCACTGTGGGTGACTGCACCAGAGCTATAGGAATCCTTTCTTCGACCCTGTCGGTCGCACTGGCGGACTCGGTGGGTTTCGGTAATTCCAAATCAAATATGGAACGCTTACGTCGTCGCGATTTTGTCTGCTGCCAACGCCGCCGCGGCGATGGTGTTTGGCCGGCCACTGATTCCTCCTCCCGGCTCAAACCAGGTGTTTGTTTGGCCGTTGAGGCGATGTTGTCCTCCAGTGGTCGAAAATGCGTCCGTATAACATCGTGGTCGGCAGGAGTTAAAGCTTTAGCAAGGAGTCGGTGACGCAAAGAGGTGCGTGGGCGCTTTTCTAGGCGTTTCCGGGTGACGCTGGTTGGCGATCGTGACCTGGATTTAGCACGCCGTGCAGTTGGATC